AACCTATCTCATCAATACGTGGCAAAAGCAAATTAAGTGCCCGGCAAACAAGTCGCAGATTTGTCAGTACAATTAATTGCGACTCCAGGGATTTGGCCTTGGCACTCACAAGAAATGCCGTAATGACAAAGTTCAAAATACGACAGTCACACGTCGTGAGAAGATACTCCAAGAGCTCCACGGAAAGGGGCGACTCCATGGCAATATCAAGTTTGGTGCAAAAAACAAAGTGCCCTGGCGGAGGGAAGTGTGGCTTGCGCCCTGTCTCACCAGACGGCGGTGTCCCTTCACCCTCTGTAGTTCGCACGCGAGCAGTCAACTCCGGCGCAAAAAAATCGGGTAACTTTACGCCTGCACGTAACAAACAAGAAAACACCTCCTCAAGACGTTCCGGAGTTGGACCGTCAGGGATAGTTGCCTCCAGATCCCCTTCATGGAGGGCCGAGTTCTCTTCTTTGCACTCAACGTGGATTAATTCGCTTTTCATCTTCTGTCTTCGGGAAAGATTCATCACGTGATTGAGGTATTCGTGGATCCACGGTGTCACCGTCTCACGGATGCGGTCCGTCGACGTGCGCCATTCCCCACTCGCCAAGAGGTAATTCATTGCGTTAAGCACAAACAACGTGAACGCGTCATCACCACCCCTCGGCAACCCCTCAATAAAATTCTGACGCAACTTAAGGGGATTCAGCGTTTGCAGTTTAAGGAGCAGCTGAACCAGCTCACTATTGCTCAGCCCGTGTTCAACAGACAGGGGCGCTAGAAACGCCACAAAACGTATTATGGAGGACGTCGATCGAGTACCACTGTAAGAAATCATGCACTCGACCAATTTTCGGCGTCGTTCAACGTCAGGCAACAACGGTAATGCCTCTGTGACACATTTAAGTGTGCTGGCCATGCTGCAACCGGATTCAAGATCCAATGCTTTTTCCCCCAATGCCATCACCACTTCTGGAGCGTGTATGGAAAATCCACAATTCGAGAGTTCCTTTAATAACGTTAGACGTTCCAGCGCCAACTTGACTGAAGTGGGCAGGGTGCTTCCGGCCCAATCCACACGATCCACCAGCTCCGTCAGGTAATTCTGGATCACATCCCTTTCAGCACCCGGAGTCGAGTCCATCAAGCGGGTCAAGAATGCTCTCACAATGCATTCTATTGCCCCATTCAATACAAGCTTTGAACTGGATGTTGAAGATGATTTGGCACCCGTTTCTTTACCCAAGATGAATGCAGTAAGGCGTTGAAGGGTCTCCAACCGAAGGTGTGCACCAGCCCAAAAAATGATGTGTAGCGCATCTTCTTCTGAAAGATTTTCCGTCGCTACGGTTTCCAAGCAGTTAAGATAACGGACCCTATTGGAGGAAGCGAAACTAAGAAGATGTGCCACAAGTACGGGGTCGTCAGCCGGAATCGGGACCTCGGCGATAATCTTCGTACAGAGCGACCGCGCCTCTGCCGTGCGGATATTTGACGCTGTCTGTAGCAAAACAGGAAGCATCTGCAGTTCTTGCCGAGTGTAATGCGCGGGTTTCCTCCGTATGCGTAACAGATACGACAACATCTCCAGACGAGACGTCATGGAACTAAAGGCAATGTTTTGCATAATAACCGCACATTCTTCCATGGACGGGGAATAGGCAACCTCTCCTTGCAAATCGGAAGGCAACGACGAGGAACCCTTCGAGGAGACATCGTTTGCAAGACCCAAGAGAGACTCCTCATCCGTCCCATCCAATTGCTTCAGTAGTGGGACGATGCTTCGCAAAAGACGGCGGAGAACAGCGTTCACAATCACCGTGTCGCCTCCAGAAAGAAACGCCTGACGGCGCTCTTCATTCGCGAGAAGCAAAAATGTCAAGCAAACATTTACAGCGACCTGCTCATCCAGTTGAAAAAGTTTCCTTAACTCGTCGCCACGCAACTGACGTAAAATGGCAAACATTAATGCCGGGGGTATTTTTAACAACACCTTCTCAGCCTCGCCAAGAAATGGACTTTCCACACATGAAAGCCGATGCAGGCCGTAAGCGCAACCCATGAGAATAGCAAGGGGCTGCATCTCCAACTTGTCGCTTTCAATGGCACGCCGAAGCAACGTCACTATCCTGTTTGTGAATGCTCTTACTTGCTCCTGAATCAACGGGTTCGTTTCCGTTACGGTTCCTTCCCCTCGTCGTCCGACTGCAGCAGCGGCATCCAAGCGACAAAGAAGCACCTCAGACACAAAACTGCACACAAGAAGAGATTGCCCGCAAGTGAGACTGTCTGAAGACTCCTGCAGCCACTGTAAAGCGGCTTTATTAGACTCCAGAGAGGGCGAGGAACACACAGAAGGCACCGTCTTGTCTGAAGCATCCTCCAATAAGAACGCTTTCGCAGCAGATTGTTGGTGTGTGGCACACCAGTGAACAAGAGCGTCAAATGCCTTCTTTTTCTGTCTTTTTCGCAACCCCACGTTGGAGAGCGCCAAAGAATCCTCCTCAACACCAACGATAGGTGAAGAGAGCGAAGCCTGAAGAAATTCTCTCTTGATGTCTCTCCCCTGCGCCCCCATTTGATTCAATATTGGTGCGTAGCGCGAGCCGCACAACACAAAAGGAATTTTATTCACAGAAATGCAAATAAAAGTTCGGCGCATCATCGTCACTGCCGCATCAAATCACTTTTTTTTGTTGCTTTACCTTTCCTCCCTCCAACACCTTTTCTTCCTTTCCTTCTACACCCAAACAACTCCTTATAAGTAACTTTGTTTGTGTGCGTTTCCCTCTGTGTGGCTGTGTGTGTTTTTATGTACGCGGCGTTCCTGTTAAAAGAGATAAAGCGGAATAAATGGCGGGATTGAAAAAAAAAAAAAAAAAAAAAGAAAAAAAACTCATTTCTTCGTGTTCTCTGTTTTACTTCTTCACAAACATTACACTGTAATTCGTTTCACTCATCTCATGTATGCTTCATTGATTTTCCTACTGCTTGCAGCAAAGGCAGACATAAAGGAAAAGGTGTGTGTGCATATATATATATATAACAAAACAGCCCTAAAAAGGCAGAGATGAATAGAAGGTCTCACCGCTGCTGCAGCGCTGCGTATAGTTTGGTTCTTGACGCCACGTGGCGATCTAAACGAAGCAGCACCGCCTCCAACTCCTGCATGTTGCACTGACTCACATCCACCTCCCTTGAGTAGAATGACGAAGATTCGCCCTCCACCACTCCACCCGGATGCTGTCCATCTGAATCACCGTTGAACGCAAATATCGCAATGCCACTCTCACTGTACCGGGCGAGAGAAGCCAGCTGCTTGAGGATACTTTCTTCCCCATCACAAAATCGATTCTGCGCTACCATCTGTTGCACCAACTGCTTTATGCTGCACACAGAGCGTCTTTCACCAAGTATAACACGCACCAGATCGTAGGTAGCCAAAAGACGCTCCCGCTGTTGACGTCTAGTTACCAACTCCTGCTCCTTTGCATCCAGCCCAATCGCCTCCCTCCGCATTTGAGCGACTAAATAGCGCAGCTTTTTCTCGGACAATGAAGCCCGAAGCTCCCTTGAAATCTGTGCTAGTAGCTCTTCATCACTCAACCCGTCACTGTCACTCGCAATCCTGTCAATGATCACCGAAGAAGAAACATCAGAATTGGGCCCTCCAGCTTCTGACTGAGTAGAATTACCCTCAAATTTTTCCGTCGATACGGTCTCAGCATGTTTGCTGAATTCAAAACAACTTATTGTGTTCCGCCGCCAACCACTGCTCTGACCCCACCGTTTCCGAAGAAATGCCTCTGCTTCCTGAACAGAAGGCACACTCGAGTGAAGGAGCTTCAGTCTCACCACAATAATATCTTTTGGTACCCCTGCCGCCAACCCCGCTGCCTTTCCAACAGTATTGAGAGGATTCTGCTCCATCTCCCCATTTTGTTTCAAACTCACAAAGACTTTCAACCAATCGTTAAATGCCGCCGCAGTCTCAATGATATCGTTCAAAACCACTGTAAATCCACTATATCGCACAATTGCTTCGAGCCAGCGATCATCCACCGCTGCCGTGATACCTTCTCCAACGTCAAAGATCCCAATTTGTGCCTTTGTCGTCATCGTAATGAGGAAAGCACCGTGCAGAATGGTAGCCAAGCGCTGATGCAAAAACAAATTATCATCACATGATACTGGACCCGTGGTCACAGCACAATCCTCGGCAACGTCCAACGGATGGCCTTCAATTATTCTACTCAAGCTCATCAAAACGGGTGGACTATGCGCCTTCGTAGCAACGGCATCGCGCTTCCTTTTGCCCTTGTTGGCCGTGGACGTGCTCCCTTTTGCCCTCTTTGTGGGTGAAGACGCTGTTACCTTTTGGGCCCTGCGTGGCGGCATCCCATTATACGTCTCGGCGTTGTTTTTTTTCTTTCGTGTGTGAGAGTGAGCAACGACGCGTCAGCAAAGAAGAGAGGCGTCACGGTTGCAGCTAACAAAAAATAAATAAATAAATAAGGAACAAAATATCAGAATTGCAAATGCTCAAAATTCCCTTTCCATTCACAGAAGAGACCATAAATTTTTCGTCCCACAACCCACTCTTCCTCCGTGAAGGAAAAAAAAAAAAAACTGGGAGGGAAAAGATGTAGGCGGCAGCAGCAGCACCAAACAAGACAAAAAATAAAAATAAAATAAAAAAAAAATAATGAAAAACAAAAAACAACGTGATGTTATGCCTTACCCAAATCTCATTGCTCATTTGTACCCCCTCCCCTGGCGGACCCCCGGTGGATATTTCCTCGTTGTTTTGTTTCCCTCCCTCTTCCCGTTTTGTTGCTGGCAAACGAGTCCTTACGGACAGTTCGTTTGAGAGAAAGAAATGATCGCACCCCGACACGAGCCCTCCCACGCACCTAATCCCGCAAAAAGCGCACACAAATAAATCCCCACGCACATGAATGCATACACACACATGAATTAAGAGAAAAACATGGTCCGCTTTCAGGGATCAGAAAACAAAACAAAAAACAAAACAAAAAAAAAGGTACAAAACTCTATAAAGAAGAAAGAGAGAAGGAAAGTGGATAAATAAAAAATAAAGAAAGAATGATGAGGCCAAACGAGATACAAGACACAAGGAATTCAAAACAGAAATGATGAAAAAAAAAAAAAAAGAAAGAAACAATGGGAAAAAAGCGCCAAATACAAAGAGCACAAACACACACACAAGAGAGAGAAAGAGAGAAAAGTGTTTTAAAAAAATTTTATGGCAAATTGATTATTTTCATCAACCACCCACATATGCCTCTTTATATTATCTCATCGATCCCTCACAATTATTCCAGTGCTCATTGAATGCAGCCTCTATTCTTTTACTCTTTCCCCATTTCTTTTCTCCTTTATTTCATTTCTATCAGCGATTTTTGATTCCTCTTTTTTTTTTTTTTTTTTTTTTTTTCGGTATTCCTCCGTGGCATTTCCTCTCTTTTATTTTCTCTCTTTTCGTTACTCTCGCTGGCCAAAACCTCACGCATCCTTTGAGAAGTAAAACGATCTATAAGACCTCATCCCACCTCATCACTCTTTCTCCTCCCCGTCCCATGTCTTCTGAAAGTAGACACATAAATGTGAACTTTCTTATTGACTTGCTGGTCTATACAACTGTAACAGGTGTCACCGAGATTTTAGGGGAGAGGCGGCACGGTGCTCGTGACAGTCTTCTTCCTGCTGACCCTCCGGTAGACCCTCCTGACGCCCTTCGCCGACTTTTTGCCCTTTGCCTTCTTCTGCGCCTTCAGCTTACGAGCCCTGCTTTTTTGTCCCTTCTTTGCAAGCCTCAGCGCCGCCTCAACGCGCTTCTTGAAGTCCTTCGCCTTCTTTGTGGCACGCCACAGCTCACCCGTTTTCTGCATGCGTCGCTTCCCCTTCACAAGTCCGCTCTTCTTCAAGGCGTAATAGAAGCGCACATAGAGAGCCGCGGCCTTTTTGCCGCTGCTGCGGCCCTTCCTCACCTTTAAAGCCCTCTTCTTTTTCGGCGGCACAGCAACTTTTGCGGTGGCCACCTTCTTCTTGTCCTTCAACAAGAATGACGACAGAGCGTGTTTCCCGCTCCCGCTGGGCTTCATCAACTTCGTCACTGAGACGCGGGGAAGAGACCTTTGCCTGGGACTCAGCGCCGCAGTGAGTCCAACACTCTTACCGAGTTTGGCGCTGGTGGCACTCCGCTTTGCTGCAACGGCAAGGAACCGGGTAAAACGCATCATTTTGTTTTTGTTGTTTGTTTTTTATTTTTTTTATATTTTATATATTTTTTTCCTCTTTCTTGTTGATTTGTTTTGCGTAAAAGAGCCGTTGAGTGATATACTACCTTTCGTATTCCTGTTGTGCCCCCCGGTATGCGCCAAGTAAAGCAAACCAAAAGAGCAGAGAGAGAGAGAGAGAGAACATGAAATGTGTCAAACATAATATTATAAATAAAAAAGAGCGGAACAAAAAAAAAAAAAAGCGACTCAAGGCACAAAATAATATTTAAAAAAGGAATTTTTTTCGACAATAGTAAAAATGTTTGGTTTACCTCACACACTCTTTTAAAGCTGTACTTTTGGCACGCATTCGACGCCAAACCCGACGCAGCACGTTAAGGGTACAATAACAAAGTAGCGCATGGAAATTTTGTACGAATACACCCACAGAAAACGTCCTCACCAACTCTAACAAGAATATATTAAAAAATCTACACAGAAAGCAAACCACATTTTTATTTAGGCCATTTTCTTCTTTGGCTGCTGCTGCTGCTGCTGTTGCTGCCTCCACAGCTTTGCAACTGCGGCAAGTCTTTCAGAGTTGGGCAACTGACTGTATTTGGGCAGGTTGGCCTTCACAAACTGCGCGTATTTCGATGGTTTACGCTTTGGCTTCTGTTCCTTTTCATCATTCCCCTTCATTTTATTGCGCTTCGGAGACGGTGTGGCCTTGGCACGTTTCTCCAGTGCAGCACGTTCCGCAGGTGCAAGCGCTTTGTAAAGCTTTGAGGTCACTTTGCCACGCTGCGCAACGGGGAGACCGCTCAGGGCAGGATTTTTCTTCTGTTCCATCATAAACAGTGCATATGCACCAATGGCGAGGCGAGACCGGCAAAAGCGCAGCATTACTTATGGGACCTTTTACTCCTGCTTCCCTTCTTTCAAAGTGTTGTAGCAGTTGTTCCGGAGGGGGAAAAAGAAAGACACCTCACAGCAGCAAATGGGTAGAAAGAAGTAAACGGGAGAAGCAACACGATGGGAGACTCCGTGCTGCGCCTTGTTGGCGCTGTCAAGGAAGTAAGCTGCAAAACAAAACAAAACAAAAATGGTCGTCACACTCAACCTCTATGGTGGGTCCACACTCCACAATGAATGCTGAAGCAACAGAGAATACTGCTCAGAAGCAACGGCATGTCAGTAACACATTACCGCTTTATTTCTAACCTAACGGAAGAATGATGCTGACACCTATCGCCAGGTAGTTCAATCACGCACCCACCACCACGAGCAAAAAGTCTCTATTCTAACCTTCTGTCTGCTCACCATATAACCCATTTGTAGATTGTCCCCACTTTTCTGACATTTTATAGTACCACACAAAAAAAACAAAAACAAAAATAAAAATAAAAATAAAAATAAAAATAAAAACGTGAATTTCATTTTCTTGTTTGAATCTTTCTTCCAAGCACTTAGAGGTGTAGCTGCTTCTGCTGTTGCTGCTTCCACAGTTTTGCAACTGCGGCAATTCTTTCCTTGTTGGGCAACTGGCTGTATTTGGGCAGGTTGGCCTTCACAAACTGCGCGTACTCCGATGGTTTACGCTTTGGCTTCTGTTCCTTTTTCTCATTTTTCTTTAATTTCTTGCGCTTCGGAGACGGTGTGGCCTTGGCACGTTTCTCCAGTGCAGCACGTTCCGCAGGTGCAAGCGCTTTGTAAAGCTTTGAGGTCATCTTGCCACGCTCCGAAATGGGGAGACCGCTCAGGGCAGGATTGTTCTTCTGTTCCATCATAAACAGTGCATATGCACCAATGGCGAGGCGAGACCGGCAAAAGCGCAGCATTACTTATGGGACCTTTTACTCCTGCTTCCCTTCTTTCAAGGTGTTGTAGCAGTTGTTCCGGAGGGGGAAAAAGAAAGACACCTCACAGCAGCAAATGGGTAGAAAGAAGTAAACGGGAGAAGCAACACGATGGGAGACTCCGTGCTGCGCCTTGTTGGCGCTGTCAAGGAAGTAAGCTGCAAAACAAAACAAAACAAAAATGGTCGTCACACTCAACCTCTATGGTGGGTCCACACTCCACAATGAATGCTGAAGCAATAGAACGTCAAGGTTGAGAATATTAGTGGCATTATCGCCCATCATCCTTCCACCTCTCTCGCGGTCAAATACACCGTTTCATTTTCTCTATGGTTACTTCAATGTTCTAAAAGAGAGTCATCCCCACGCGTCGCTTCGTTACCTCGACTGACCCCCAACGACTCAGTACAGAAGCTTCTTATTTAGCAAGTACCACCTACAAAGCAAAAAAGAAAACATGGAGAAAAAGTTCAAAAGAAAATAAAATCAGCAGACCGTTATGACGGTGGTGCAGGATCAGCAGCTGCAGTATTTTCCGGCTTCGATTTTTCTACTGCATTTTCCGTCTTCATTGAATTCCACTTCTCGGCAATGGCTTTCATCCGTTCTTTGGTTGGGAGGTGCGTCATATGAGGCATCTGCTCCTTCACAAACGCCGCGTACGGTGATACCTTGGTCTTTGTGACGGTTCTTTTCTTTTTCTTCCCCACGGAAGCTCCTTGACTCGTCATGCTGCGACTCTTGCTGCTGGTTTTAATCGTAATCCGCTTCTTCTTCTTCTTGCTAGCTGAGGGCTTTTTCCCTGACGGCGGCGGGGAATCACTCAAGGCCATACCTTGTGACAGCTCTCTTGCACGCTTCTCAAGCGCCTCCCTCGTGGCATCGGGCAGGGAATTAAAGATGGCAAACAACTTCTTCTCTCGGATGCCAGGGGATGCAATGGATGCAATGGAGGGATTCGACAGCTGTTCCTTGTAGAAGAGCTCATACGGTGTAATCTCATTCCGACGTCGGTACGATGGAATCGCCGTCTCTCCGCTTATTTTTTTAGCCTCCCAAGCGGCAGCCCTCTTCTTGAGGGCATCCATATCCTCCCTGGTGAGTTGTTTAAACATTTTCAAAATCACCTTCTTCTTCTGAACAGCCGATAGACCGTGAAGATTGGTGTTCTTCCGCTGCTCCGTCTGAAAGAAACGCAGCGCCAGCTTCCTGCTGTTATGCAGTGGCACAACGGTTCTTAGCATTGCCTCTTCTATCGATTCAAAACGTCTATGTGGGCACACGCACGCAAAAAAAGGCCGCACGCCACCAAATTGCACAGCTCGCCCCGCCACTTCCTCTTTTTTTCCCTCCTCGTGCGTCACCTCAACCCCTTTTTGTTGTTGTTTTTGGTTGCGTTTGTTTGGATGCGCCCATCCATCCACCCACACACCAATGAAACCAAAAAAAAAAAAAAAAGAAAGGCAATAAGGAAAAGAGGAAAAAAAAAAAATAATTAATAAAAGCTGCAACCGCATCAACAGAACACAGATGGCCCTCTACCGAGAAGGGAAAAATAGTGACATTAAAGACACAAAAAGAAACGGGGAATATTTGCCTGGATGTGGCCTCTTCCTCTGTTCTCAAAACAAAACAAAACAAAACAAAACAAAACAAAAACATAACGTACAGAAAAAAGAGGGAGCCACAATTTTTCTCCAATGCGACCAACATTCCAATTCGGCTGAGTTTCGTCCAACACCCAAACACCAAAAGAAAAACCAGCAACGGCACTCAAAAGATCTTCTATAGTAACTGGGCTCGTTGTGAACTCAAAAAATGGCAGCTTTTACTGCCCCGCAACTACCGGGCTTCCCTTCCGCGTGGAGGGCAGTCGTAGCGGGCGGATGGGACGACACAAATAGTAAAGAAAAAAAAAAAAATTGCTGCGCTCACGCTACTCTTCAACGGGGCATCGTTGGAAACAAACATCAAGCAATAAGGGGAAAAACACATGGGATCTCAACAAAGCCCGCTATTATCTACTGAGCCTTGTCTGCTCGCGAAGTTGTTTTCCACACGGCTCTGAAAAGCAGTGAGATCGCACACAAACAAGAAAGAAAAAAAAAAAACAAGAAAAACAAAGGAACAGAATTTAAAGAAAAAAAAAACATACGTGGAGAAAGCTAATAAAGAAGACTCAAAGAACCATTACATGATGGGGGCAGCCCAAAGAGAAATCCTGAAAGCTTACATACAGAAACAAAAAAAAAAAAAAAAGGAGAACATGGGACAACCACGCAAAGCCAGTGGTTAAAAAGAAAACGCCTTTGGCAGGGGACAAAAACGACACGAAAACCCACAAAAAAGGGACCTCAAAATTTCTCCCAAAAACTTGAGGTAACCTACTCTATTTCTCAGTCTCTTTCCGCTGCTTTTTTTTTTTCCTTCGCTGTTGCTTCGTGGTGTTCTCTTCTATTTGTTTCCGTCCTCATACATCGCATAGGCGTCCTTTCTTTCTTCACTACTCCCATTCGCTCCCTCCCCTTCATTCTAGTACATCAACCAATAAATTCTAAGCCCACGCTCCAATCAGGGAATGGGAAAAAAAAAAAAAGAAAGCAAACTACATTTTTATTTAAGTCTTTTTCTTCTTTGGCTGCTGCTTCTGCTGCTGTTGCTGCCTCCACAGCTTTGCAACTGCGGCAATTCTTTCAGAGTTGGGCAACTTGCGGAATTTGGGCAGGTAGGCCTTCACAAACAGTGCGTATTTCGATGGTTTACGCTTTGGCTTCGGTCCATTTCCATTTGCCTTTGATTTCTTGCGCTTCGGAAACGGTGTGGCCTTGGCACGTTTCTCCAGTGCAGCACGTTCCGCAGGTGCAAGCGCTTTGTAAAGCTTTGAGGTCATCTTGCCACGTTTCGCAACGGGGAGACCGCTCAGGGCAGGATTGTTCTTCTGTTCCATCATAAACAGTGCATATGCACCAATGGCGAGGCGAGACCGGCAAAAGCGCAGCATTACTTATGGGACCTTTTACTCAATTGTTTTGACTGTGTTCGTAGAAAGTGTCAGCCGAAAAAAAAAAAAAGAAAAAAAAAAAACAAAAACAAAAAAACAGAGACCAAAATTCCTCTCAATCACAGCGCCAAATCAGTAAGCGTGACCATTCACAATTCAAGTCAAAAGAAAAGGAAAAAACCGGTGGGAAACACTTAAAAAACAAGTGAGGTCATTCTCCTACTTTTTGCCCCAATCACATTCATTTCACACCCACTCCCCTTTTTTTGTTTTCCCTGCTGTTAATGTCATTCTTATTGGCGGTGGCAGCGGTGATGGTGTTGAGTGTTTAGAGGAAATGTTTCAGGAGGCGAGATGGAGAAGGGGGATTTTAATTTTTTATGTTTTTTTTTTTCTTTTTTCTTCTTCCTCTTTCCCTCTATGCCTATTTCCCAATGAACGTAGGCGACAGGAAAAGAAAAAGAAAAAAAGAAGGATCGTTTGTATTCTAAATAAGGAAGGAAGAAAAACAAAACGGAAAAAAAAAAAAATCAAGAAATGGATGTTCCCCACCCTTCTCTCGGCTTTTGTTTTTCTCTTCTTCAGGCTCACCTCCTCGGCTTTTATTCCTCCTCGCATTTACTTCTCATTCACCCGCAGGGAATTCCTCACACACATACATACATACATATACATGTACCTTTTATTGCATATATTCCTCCACCGTTACCGCCTCCGTATATAGAAATAGACATGTACTCTCCTCTTCACTTATTATTATTTTTCTTTTCTTTTTTTTTTTTTTTTTTTCCTCTTCACTTATTCTTTCCGTTAAATATGATCCCTCTTTTTTTATCCCTCCTCACCCGCCTGCTGCATCCCTGCAGCCGCGCTCAAATAATTGCATATAACAGAAGAAACAGAAGGGCATCAAAGTGATAAAAAGACAAGTTTAAAAAAAAAAAAAAATTGCAGCCTTTTTTTTATTTTTTTTTTATTTTTTATTTTCCGTTGTTTTTGTTTTATATTTCACACTTTCATTCCTTTGAGTTTTTTTTTTTTTTTTT